TGTCCCGCGCCCGCTCTGTATTCCTCGCCAGCAAGAAATACACGCAGGACACTCGGATCCTTCTGCAGACAAGCTTTAATGCATTAGACTGAACAGAGACTGAGCAGAGACATTGAACCAAGAAAACCATCCCTATATAAAAGGCTGACCAGCCGCCTGGGACGTATTACCCTATGAATGGCTTCAGCTCCTCAGGCTAAAATGAGCCACGGGATAGGCAGAGATCAAAGGAATGGAGATAACCCGGCGCCTGTGAAGTAATTCACACCTTGGTGTCTTCAGGCAGCATTATAATGCAGGAACCGGCTTCCTACATATCACCACCACTTGGCCCTAAAATAAATAAATAAATCTTAAAAATATATATACATGTATGTATGTATGTATGTATGGCTGGCTGGCTGGGTGGTGGTGTTGCATACCTTTAATCCCAGCCTTTGAGAGACAGAGGCAGGTGGATCTCTGAGTTCAAGGTCAGCCTGGTCTACAGAGTGAGTTCCAGGACAGCCAAGGCTACACAGAGAAACCCTGTCTTGAAAAACCAAAATAATAATGATAACAATAATAATTATAACAATAAAGATACTTTTCCTGATGCTGCATTAGCTGGAGTGTCCAGGGGAGCAAACAACAGACAGTGCTCATTGACTCTGACTCTCATGCTAAGAGAAATTCATTCATTCTCCCACATTCTTCCCAAAGATTTCCACACAAGTTGCTCCACAGTTTGATGGTTTAAGTATGAAGGACCCATTTTAATTCCATTCTGTGCGTTTTGTGCCAGAGTCACATATGGTGCCCATTCTTCAGGGTATTCACTGCAAATACAGCAGCCTCCAATGAGAGGACATTTTGGCCAGGAGCCTCTGGAGCACTTCTGCGTTGTTAGACCAGCGTCTCAGATGTGATAGAGAACACTGAGACAGAGATTGCTCCCTAAGGTCACAGGACTTATTCAGTGCAGTGGACAGGCGGGCAAAGAGAGAGACAGACAGCATCATGGCAGGGGGACTCTGAGGACAGTTCAGACCCCAGCTCTAGACACAGACAATGTGGTGGTGTCTCTAAACCCAAGAACCAGAGCCCAGGAGGCAGCAGTGACAGAGGCGGCCCCTATTGTATCTTTCTGAGGATAGAGAAGGTCCCACAGCACAAGCCTGCCAGCAGGCTCCAGCAGGAGGCAAGAAAAGGGTTGGGGAACCAGATATGTGGCCACTAGGATGGATTTTGATGTAAATTCACTTTCCAGGTGAGAGATCCTGGCACCAGGAAGCCACCAGATGCTAACACTAGTTCCTGCAGAGCCCTCCCTTAAACCAGGCACTGCAATGTACTGTAGGCAAAGTCAAGGGTGATGCTTATCACATCAAATTGAAGAAATTTATATGGTTTTCCTCAAACCCATCTTTATTGTGAAACCACCATTGGGGACCTCTAGATGTCAAGGGGTCCCAGCCAATTCAAATCTTCTAGATGTTATTTCTCTTTGGGTAGTGCTTTGTAGGAGAGAACGTACATATATACACAGGAGGAGTGTGAAAGTCCAGGTGTGTGTGTGTGTGTGTGGGTATGTGTGTGTGTATGCATGTGTGTGTGTGTGTGTGTGTGCATGCATGTGTGTGTATGTGTGTATGTGCATGTATGGGTGTGTGTGTGTGTGTGTGTGTGTGTGTGTGTGTGTGTGTGTGTGTGTGTGTGTACATTGACAAGGGGGGAACGTGTGTGTGGGAATGCACATGCACATGCACATGTAAGCACATGTATATTGAAGCCCTAAATTGATATCAGGTGTCTTATTTAGTTGTTCTTCACTGGATTTATCCAGGCAGGGTCTCTCACAGAACCCAGAACTTGTCATTCCAGCTAGTCTGGCTGTTCAGCTTGCCCTGAGAATCCCCTGTCCCTACCCACCCCAGTACTGGGCTGGCAAGTGACCACCACGCCTGTCTGCCTGTCTTTTATGTGGTTTGGAGATGTCCAAACTCTAGTCTTCACACTCCCACAACAGACATCCTATCCACTGAGCCATCTTTCTGGCGCCCTTTTTTTTTTTTTTTTTTTTTTTTTTTTTTACCACCTTACTTTTGAGATTGGGTCTCTCACTGGGACTTGGAATTCATCCATTTGACAGGACCTCAAATCCTCTTATCTCAACCTCAATGCTAACACATTACCAAGTGAACTATCATTCTAGCCCCATGCTTATTGTTTTTAAGTCACTAAAAAAGGAAAGTAGAAAGTACTAAGACACACAAACGAATGTGTAGCAAATAAAACGTTGATGTTGTCCTTCACATGGGTAGCATTGTATGGATTTTAGGAATTCCCAGATAGTTTCTGGATCCGGTTGCTGAGATCCTGACAGCTTCTGAGTTGGAGAAGAGGGTCACATCTGTTACACTAATTGTGGCTGTTCATGCCACTATATAATTTCACAGCATCTCAGCTTCAGACAGAATGGCTTCCATAAACATACAGCAGACGGACACAACCCAGATTTCTGCAGTTTATTTTACACCAAGAAATTACATTTAGCAATTTCCAGACACATGCTATAAATGAAACTTCAACAGGAAGTTTCACTTCCTCTCCATCTGACCTATATTTCAAAAATCTGTGAGTGGGTCATAACCATGAGCATCTCTTCCCCATGCTGCCATTATTCATTCTGTGCTTTCTGGAGATTATTTTTCTTCCCTGTGACTCAAATGGCCACCAAGGGAACTGTAGTCACTGGGAGACTTTATACAACCCCAAGAAAAATGGCAAATGTTACCAATAGCATGGCCAAATTGTATAGCTGTGGGTCACCTAGATCCATCAGGTTAGCCAGAAAAGGCAGGTCTCTTGCTCCTAGAATGGACATTGCTTTTATATCTACACAATCTTAGGTTTTTTTTTAACATCTCATGATATTAACATGACTATCTAATGTAGTTGGCTCTGAGGAAATGGTTCACTTAGAGTTTGGATCCCCAGCACCCAATTAAAATTCCAGGCATGGTATCACATTTGCAATCCCATTGTCGAGGAGGTGAAGAAAGGAAGACCCCTGGGGTTTGACAACTAGCCAGTCTAGACAATCAGTTCACTTCAAGTCCAGTGAGAGACCCTGTCTCAAAACATAAGGTAGACAGTGATCAAAGAATATTCCCTGACATCAACCTCTGACCTCCACATGGATGCACACATACCTGTGTACACATATACACACACAAATACGCAAACTCACATGAAGAAATATCTTGTATATAGAAAATCCCTATTGTTTGGATGTAGGCCAAAGTTTAAACTCAGGATTAAGATGCAGGGGCCCTTTAATAACTGATTAAGTCATGAAGGGCCCGGCTCTCATCAAGGAAATCAACACCTGTGTGAAAAGACTCAGGGGAATTAGATGAGCTTTTGTCCTTCTGTCATCTACCATGTGAGCACAGAGTCCTTCTGGTGCTACTGTGTAAACAGCAAACAAGCCTTCACCACACACTGAATCAGCTAGTATGTTGGCCTTAACCTTGACCTCAACAGCTCTCCGAACTATAAGAAATAAATCTATGGTCTTCACTAACTTGTTTTGTTACAGCAACATAAATATAATAAGTATTGTTCATGTTTGGGAGAAAGGTGCCATTTCAGACCCTTCTTCAATAAGGTAAGAATCATATATACCAGTTTATGTATACTTTAACTCCAGGCAACAAAAAATATGGGGCATTTCCACATCCCTTACTGGCATCTTAGGAGCTTCAGGACTCAGAAATAGGCCTGACATTGTTCCAAAATGCACATGTGTAGTTTTGTGCCTGCAAAAAAAAGAAGTGCTTACAGTTCTCCATTCCTTCTCAGAGTGGCCTCCACCTCCACCTTGAGGTCAGTGGATCAGGAACTTCTAAGTGAAACAACCATAGTCCCCCTTTTTGTAAATCAGGTGCCACTGGACAGGAAGGGAAGCTGGAAGCTTACTTATGTAGTAAATAAGTTTATTTCATTTAAGAAATGAAAGTTCAAGGGTAACTAGATGCAGAAATAAGGGTGCTACAGGTGCTGGCAGTCTCTAGCAAGAATTTAAAATCTCTGTGGCTTCTAGAAGACAGACAAGATAAATGGCTAAGTGGAAAAATGAGGAAAATAAAGGGTTGATGAGTGCAAATCCTGTGCCTATTCTATTTTTACCTTATTTTTGTTTAAGGATAAGGTCTCACCAGGTTGGCCTCAAACTCAGAGAGGTCCACCTGCCTCTGCCTTCCAAATGGTGAGATTAAAGGTGTCACCATGTTAATTTTCAAAAAAAATGGAAACACTGAATAATATCTAGCTGTAGAGAGCTGCGTGGAGCCGCGCTTTAAAGATGGCGCTGCCTCCCGCCCTCCGCGATCCTGAAAGCCAGCGCTCTCTTCGAAAAACAACTCCACATATGGCTAAGGCCAGATGATCGTAAGCGCTTGCGTATGTGTTGGACCTATGGACGGTGCCTACGTAGCAATCCAGGGTTGGTGGTCCATACCTATTTAAGGGCTTGGAGAGGCTTGCCCGAGGAGAGAGATCGCTGTTCAAGGTCCTGAATAAACTGCTTGCAAGAAGAGCTCCGGTGTTGCGTCATCCTTGCTGGTCCAGGCGGTCGCGGCATCTAGCAATTGGCTAGACAATGGTAGCACATGTGTTTAATCCCAGCATTTAGGAGGCAGAGGCAGGCAGATCTCTGTGAGTTCAAGGCCAGCCTGGTCTACTGAGTGAGTTCCAGGACAGCCAGGACTACACAGAGAAACCCTGTCTTGGGGGAAAAAAGTAGCAGTTGGTGAACACGATGTCTCAGTCAAGCTAGACTTTTTTTTCTTCTTTTCCCATCATTTTCTTTTGGTCTATGCCTGTGTGTGTGTTGTACAAGTATTGTGTTTGCATGCTTTTCCATGTGTGTAGGCACAGGGTGCATACAGGTGTGATTGTACTAATGCATGGAGACCCGATATTAGTGTTTGGAATCATTCTTGATCATTCTTCCTCCTTATTCTGCAGTCTCAGTAAGCCAAGTGGTGTTGGCACACACTTTTAATCCCTGCATTTATGAGGCAGAGACAGGCAGATCTTTGTGAGTTCCAGGTCAGCCTGGTCTACAGAGCAAGTTCCAGGATAGCCAAGCATGCACAGAGAAACCCTGTCTTGAAAAAACAAAATAATAATAATAGCAATAATCCCAGTAGCAGTTTGTCCTGGAGGTCCCCTGTTCCTGCTTTCCAGGGCCAGAAGTACAGACAGGCCACCCAGCATTTACGTGGGTTTCTGGGGATCTGATAATAAAATTGAGAAAACAGATCTCTTTACAATGATGTCTCACCATTTTGGCTTCTTTTGTCCCAAAATTTTTTATTAACATACACACACATCACACATATGTGTGGTGTGTATGTGTGTGTGCAACATGCATTCTTATCACAACTGATGAAAGGATTCTGGATTTAGACTGGTCTACCTAGAATTTAAGTTTTGCTCACTTGGTTATGTTCGTGATGCAAGTACACAGACTCTCTGGGCTACTTCCCAGCCCATAGAACAGTATTAATTTTTTTAAATACCTTATGGGGACTTCATGATTTTAAATTTGATATGTATCAAATGTTACCCCAGAGCCTGGAATAATGAATTCTCATCTAATGGTCTGGAATGACTCTGAAGTCTATATCTTGCTACCAACGAAGCACTTGTAAACAGAAATTCATTTAGGAGATCAGAGGAGATCCCAAGAAGGGTTTTATCTGTTAGAACTAATAATAATTGCTTGTCCCAGTGACAGTTTTTCTAGAATAGCATCTCCAGTATTCAAATACCGACCCATCTGTAGACACTCATAATAAATACACGGTTCTATTAAGTCTGTGTTTTTATTTTGGTTTTTTTTGTTTGTTTGTTTTGTTTTTTGACAGGATTTCTCTGTGTAGCCCTGGCTGATCTGGAACTTGCTCTGCAGCCCAGGCTGGCCTCAAACTCACAGAGATCTGCCTACCTCTGCTTCCTGAGTGCTAGAATTAAAGGTATGTGCCACCTCCATCCAGCTAAGTCTGTTGCTTTTTAATAAGAAGATCTTTGGGTTTACATTTCCAAGTGGGTAAGGAATAGAGAAATAGTCCCTCTGAAAGAGATAACAAGAGGAAGCCTACTTTGAATTTGAAATCAGAGTATGTGAGATTAGTATCAGTCTTCAATAAAGATATTAAAATCTATTATGGTTAAATTCTACTAAGACAGAAATGGATTTTAAGGTGTACCATTTGAGGCAGAGATTCCACCAACTCTAGATTACACACCCAGGAAAGGAAGTCTTGTAATGGGTCCTACAGACCAATTTATAATGTTAAAACCCATCCGGGTGCTCAGTCGGTAAAGTGCTTGCATTACCAACGTGGGCTTCTAAGTATGACTGCCAGAACACAAGTAAAGAAGCCGGGGAGTGTGGCATGTACTTGTAATCCCAGCACTAATGATGTGAACACAGGTGTGTCCCTGGGGCTCACTGACCACCAGACTAGACCACTTGGTCAACTCCAGGCCAGTGAGAGACCCTATCTCAAAAATAAACAAGATGTGGACCAGTGAGATGGCTCAGCAGGTGAAGACACTTGCTATCAAGCCTGACAACCCTAGTTCCATCCCAGGGATCCATATAGTTAAAGGATTGACTCCCAAAAGTTGCAGTAGAAGTGTGTGTGTGTGTGTGTGTGTGTGTGTGTGTGTGTGTGTGTGTGATAAATAAATCACTTTTTATAGAGAAAAATAAACATGTAGATGGCACCAGAAGAACAGCACCCAAGGTTGATTTCTGGCCTCCATATATATCCACACACATGAGCACCTGCCCATATAAATATGCACAAAGAAATAAAATACCTGAAAAAATGTTTAAATTATACCAGAGCTAACATGTGGGTTTGAGTTTAGCTAGGTAGAAGTATATAAAATCAAAACTAAACATTAATTATTTTAAAAGGAAACCGTGCCACTTTGGAGTGACATTCTTGACTTAGTTTGCTTGTGGGGCTGACTTTCCTTGGGCAAGTTGCATTCATTGACTACACAATTGGTTGGATCATGTGGTAGTATTTGGGTAATGCCTTACTCTAGCACATCTGACTAAGTACATTTCGTCATAGTCTGAAGAAAACAGACCCTTGCAAAGGCTGTGCAAATCTTCATCAACCAGAGGAAAATCGTTCTCATATTCAGTCTGATGCCTTGGTTCCAGGTCTATAGATGGAAGTTTCTGTCCCAACCAGTCCCTCAGCCGTTTAGTCCTAAATAAATACACTGAGGCTTATATTAATTACAAACTGTTTGGCTGATGGCTTAGGATTCTTACTGGATAGCTCTCTCTTAATTATTAACCCATAACTATTAATCTATGTATTTCCACATGGCCTTATCTTACCAGAGAATGCCCAGGCGTCCTACCTTCCCAGTAGCTACATGGCATCTCTCAGGCAACTCACTTGCTCCCTTCCTCTTCCCGGCATTCTCTTAGTCTGGTAGCCCCACCTATACTTCCTGCCAGGCTAAATCCTGCCTATCCATTGGCCGAAACATTTTTATTCATCAACCAATAAGAGAAACATATATTCACAGAACACAGAAGGACATCTCCCATCACAGGACTCTTGCTACTTACGTCAAAACCCCAGTCTGTGTGAGTTACTGATTCCTCAAAGGTTTTAGTTCTCCATTTGAATGCTAGTTTCCAAGTCCTATCTGAATCTTCAATGACCTTGGTATCCACCCCAGTGTCACCTCACTTCTCTGTTTTTCTCTCTCTTTCGGAAGCCTGAACTCAGGGACACACCCTTGACCCTGTCATACCAGATGGTCACCTCTCTGAAACCACAGGCCTGGAGCTTCCTACCTTCTGATCAGCTCACATCCGGTAACTTCTCAGACGTCATCTTTGACTGCTCAGCCTTCCCTGGTCTCTGGAGTTGGTTCTCTCCTGACCTGTGCCTCTACCTACACTGCAGGTCTCTCCTCCAGCAGATCACCCCAATCCACTTCACCCAGAAGAAAAGAGAAGCACCTAGAAGAGGATGCCAGTCAGATCCTTCACCAAAGCTGCATGCCCACCCGCTTCCCTTTCGTCTCTTTCCTAAAGACTCTCCCCATCAGCATTAAGCACGTCGCATTTTCACTCCTTGGTTTCCTTCGTTACAGCTTGGATAGGAAAAGTCCCCCATAGGGTCAGGTGATGCCATGACTAGTGATGCCATTTGGGGAGGTGGAGGACCTTTCAGGAGACAGGGCTTAGCTGGAGTAAACAGATCACTGGGGTGTGCCTGTGAAGGTTGGAATTGGTCCCTGGTCCCTTCTTTCATGTCTACTTCCTGTCCATCGTTAAGTGAACACACTCCTCCATATGCTCCCATTACCATAACGAACGAAAGTAAAAGCAGTGGACTGAAGTCTAGGAAACCATAATCCAAGTTCTTCCCTTAAATCATGTCTTCTGTCACATATTTTGCCACAGTAATGAGAGGAGTCGATAACAGACTGCCTTGTAAGTCAAACCAGAGGCAGGGGAGATGGCTCAGTCAGGAAAGTGCCTGCCACACAAACATAAGGATTTGAGTTCGATCCCAGCCCCCACGTGAAAGCTAAGCAGAGCCAGGCACTTCTATAACCCCAGCACTGGGGAGCTGGAGGCAAAGATCTGGGGGTTGCTGGCCAGCCTGCCTAGCCAAAGTAGTGAACTCTGGATAAGCAAGAGGTGAGCGACGCTATCTCAAGAACTAAGGTGAGGAACAATAGAGTATGGCACATGACATCAACTTTTGGCCTATGTGTGCGAGTGTGCATGCACACACACACACACACACACACACACACACACACACACACGCACACTCAATACTCACTCACTCACTCACTCACTCCCCAGTCTCCTCTATTCCCAACACCTTCCTTCCTCTCCTGGAGAGTTATCTTGTCTCCCCAGCTCCCGGATCCCTCATTGCAAGCCAGGATGACAAAATGGCTGTCACTAGAGCCACTGGGTGGAGTTCTGTAGGACAGTGTGTCTTACCTACAGGCAACATTTCCTGCTACAAACAATTCCCCATCCTTTTTCTATAATGCATGCTCCATCTTGGTGTTAATAGTTTGTCCCTCTATCTGTCTGTCTGTCTGTCTGTCTGTCTGTCTCTCTCTCTCTCTCTCTCTCTCTCTCTGTGTGTGTGTGTGTGTGTGTGTGTGTGTGTGTGTGTGTGTGTGTGTGTGTCTGCACCTACCTTCTCTTTCTCCTTCTTCATCTTGCATTTTTCTGGAGCTCTGTCCTGGTCTCTTCCTTCAGCCCGCTCTCTTTCGACCTGAACTTCTTCACTTCCAACTCCAAATCTGGCCACCCCATCACTCTTTTTCCTAACTGCTGCTTCCTGCTGGCTTCAGACAGCTGCCTGCACCCAGACACCTCCCCTGGAGCTGCTCCTGCAAAGTCATCATGCTCAGACCCAGTCATCCTGCCCCAGACTGACTCATCATTAGTCCCTCCCAGTTCAGCCCTCCAGCCAGCATCCTCAGAGTCCTCGGCTAACCCTTCCTAAGGCTCCCATCTCAGCTTCAGGGCTGCCTCCTTGTGCCAGCTGTGCTTTCACCACCCCGTTCAGCACAAACCTTAAACTAGGCTGAGGCCTTCCTTTCTCGTCCCTCTCAGATCTGATAAATGGCCAATTCTCTTAACTCCACTTTAGACACACATTTCCAAGGAGACCCTTTCCCTCTGGGTGCCTGTCCTCTTTCCTGCACCTCTGAAAATTCCGGGCCACCAACCTTTCCTGAGTCAATTCTAAAATATCCCTAACTTGTTCTTAGTAAGCTCATCATTGTTGTGGCAAAATACCCAAGATAACCCACTTTTTTAAAAAAATTCTTTGTTCTTCATAACTGCATACAAGTACACAATGAAATATGGCCATAACTGTGCTTCGTTTCCCTCTGCAATTGCTCCTATATCCCCTCAACATGTCCCCCTCCCAACTTCATCTTTTTTTTTTAATTACCATTAAGCCAGTCCAGTTAGTGCAGCCCGTATGTGCATGGGAATAGAACCATCCCCTGGGACATGGGATCCTACAAGTGGTCACGAGTGAAAAATGACGACTGTCCTTCCCTTGGAAACAGCCAGTTGCCAGGAGCTCCTCAGTAAGTGGCATGTCCCAAAGATCATCTACCCCATCTATGCCAGAATTTTGGCTGATTTTGTACAGTTCTGTGCAGGTACCCCCAGCTTCCGCAAGTCCATGAGTACAACAGCCACGCCATGTCCAGAAACAGGCATTTCCCAGCTCTTCTCCCCATTCTCCTACATTCTTTACACTTCCTCTTCTGAGATGTTCCCTGAGTCCCTATGGGGGTGTGTCAGTTGATATAGACACCTCATTTGGGACAAGATAACAACATCTAAGGAAGAAAGACTTATTCTGGCTCAGCCCTCTACATTTGGGACTGCAGCAGCACGTTCTGGTGGAAGCATGAGGTGATAGGGGTAGAGTCCAACTAGCTCCCTTCAAAGGCACCGCCCTCCCGCAATGACCTGTCCATTAGGCCCCGCCTCTTAAAGGCTTCACCATTTCTCACCGAAGTCTAGAGAGCAAACCTGTAGAACAGGAACCTTGGAAGGATATTCTGGATCCAAGATGTAGCCCTGGTCCCCTGAGCTCTGTATAGTTCTTGGGCTTCACTCCAACTCATCCTAAGACTTGACACTGCCTGAAGAGAAGATGCAGACCCTGCCCATGCCCACAGGGCTCACAGCTCATGGCCCACAGGGCTCACAGGACTCCACTGACCTGTCCCTTCACCCCTCTGCACCAGCCCAGTCTTACTCTTCCTGTAGTGTACTTACTCCCTTAGCCTTTGCACTTACCCCTCCACTTACGCTGGGCCTTCCTTCAACTCTTGGAAAGGTCCCCACAAACACACACTATACCCTGCTCTCTTTGCCTCTAGCCCTTACTTGGGCTCAGCTTTTTTTGTCACGTCCTCCACACCTTTCTGTAGTGAATTCACCAGTGTTGCTTCTCCCCACCTCAGGTGCTGTTCTGTGTCCTAACTCTGAACCCATGAATATCCTACTGTGGCTACTTGAAGAGGAGCAGCTTATACAGAAAGGCAGGTGGGCAATCTCCATCTACACTGTAGATTCTACAAGGCTGTTGTGCAAAATAACTGTGTGTCTTAAAGAGCAGACTATTTTTTTCCTCACATTTCTGAAATCTGAAATCCAGCATCAAGGTTGAGTTCAGGTGAGAACTTTTCCTGGCTTAGAGACAGTTGTTTTTCCTCCGTGTCCTCATATGACCCTCTGTGCAGGGAGGGGCGGGAGTGGAGTTGGTCTTTCTTCCTGAGGACACAATCTTACAGCATTAGGACCTGACCCTTGGGACCTCATTTAAGCTTTGTTGTGTCCACAGATTCCCCTACCCCATTGAAATCCAGCTATACTGAGAATTGTGGCTTCAGCAGACAGATTTGGAGGAGGGACACAGCTCAGCTGATGAGTTCTAAGTGCCATCAGGCAGTATCAGGGTACCATGGGCACCAGAAGACAAAAAAAGGCAGCACAGAGAGGGAGTGGGTGGGCCCACCACAAGTGGAAAAGCTCTCTGGGAGGGGTCTAAGGATGTTTCATTGCAGACACTGTCCTTCACAGACCTTTAAAAGATCTGGGCATGATGGTACATGCCTGGGACCCCAGTATTCCTGAGTGGAAGCAGTGGGAGTGTGAGTTCTAGACCAGCCTGAGCTATATAGTGAGACTCACTCTCAAAAAATATATTTATTTCTTTATTTATTTTAGTTAAAAATAAGAAGATGACCCTGGGTGGTAGTGGCACACACCTTTAATCCCAGAACTCCAGAGGCAGAGGCAGGTGGATCTCTGTGAGTTTGAGGCCAGTCTGGTCTACAGAGTGAGTTCCAGAACAGCCAGGGCTACACACAAAAAAAACCCTGTTTCAGAAAACCAAAACCAAAAAGAAGGGGGTGGGGGTTGCTGGAAGGATGACTCAGTGGGTAAGGTACCTGCCATCAAACCTAACGACCCAGAACCCATAGTATAAAAGGAGAGAACTTTTTCCTTTAAGCTGCTCTCCTACCTTAACATGGGCACTGTGACAAAGTGTCACCTCCCCCACCACACACATACATTAAATAAACATGGAATACAGAGCTGAGGACATAGCTCTGTTGGTAGAGTACTTGCCTAGCATGAACACAGCCCTGGGCTTGATCCCCAGAAATGCATAAACTGCATAACCTGCACATTTGTGAACCCTAGCACTCTGTGGGATCAGAGTGCAAGGTCATTCTCAGTTAACACAGAAGACAAGCCATCCTGGGCTATGTAACAGAAGAGAAGCCAGCCTGGGCTACATGAGAACCTGTGAGAGAGAACAGTCACTTTTGGTTGTCTTTAGCTACACAATTTGTTACAGATGTCCCCAGGAAATCCTATATTTCCATGACCTCATTCCAATCAGATATTCCCACCACGTTTACTCTGCCCTTTCTGGAATCTGTCTTGTATTTGGCTGGGTGGGTTGTTAAAAATCATTCTATCCCTTGAAGTACAAGCTCCTGAGGACAGGGACTCTGCCTGTGTTGCCTACTGCTGTTTTACTAGTTACACAGAAAGGGCTCAATGCATGCATGGGAGGTGGAAGAACCTATGGTCTACTTTGATAATGTGTGGCAGCAGAGTTGTTAAATTCTAGACAGAGCCGTGAAAGCATGCAGGAAAGACCTTCCCTGAAGAAGGAACTCAGTCTTCTGACAGAATTAAATGAGACCAGTGCACAGACCCCAGATGACACCCTTCTGGTCCCTGATGCTGTGACCCTATAGTTTGCAGTTGTCCTAGCAACTTGAACATTGGTGCCCTCTGGTGACAGTAGTTGATTGACTCTTGTTCTAAATCTAAATGTTCCTTAAAATGGACCAAGTGCTTGATTGCTGTATAGTATTTTAAATTATGGAAGAAATGAGTTTTGTCCAGAAATCAGCACCTAGACCTATAATCACTCCAAATCCAGATGCCAGCATAAAAGCACAATCAATAACATCCAGGACAACATGTCTCCACCAGAGCCCAGCTATCCTACCATAGCAGGCCCTGGATATTCCAACATAGCTGAGGCACAAGAAAAAAAAACCTTAAAACCAACTATATGAAAATGATAGAGGTCCTTAAAGAGGAAATGAATAAATCCCATAAAGAAATCCAGAAAATACATACAAAAAATTGGAGGAAATGAATAAATCCCTTAAAGAAAGGAAGCCAATAAAACTGCTCAAGACCTGAAAATGGAAATAGGAATTTGAACAGGAACTACAGAGACAAGCTTTATCAACAGAATACAAGAGACGGAAGAGAGAGTCTCAGGCATTGAAGAGTCAATAGAATAAATGGATATATTGGTCAAAAAACTCCTGACACAAAACATCCAGGAAATCTGGGACCTTACGAAAAGACCAAACCTAAGAATAATGGAAACAGAGGAATAAGAAGAATCCCAGCCTAAAGGTCCAGAAAATATTTCAACAAAATCATAGGAGAAATTTTTCCTAACCTAAAGAAGGAGATGCTTACAAAATTACAAGACGCTTACAGAACAGGCTGGGTAGTGGTAGTGCACACCTTTAGTTCCAGCACTTGGGAGGCAGAGGCAGGTGGATCTTTGTGAGTTCTAGGACATCTTGATCTACAGAGTGAGTTCCAGGAGAACCAGGGCTACACAGAGAAACCGTGTCTCAAACAAACAAACAAAAAACAAGTAAACAAAAAAGAAGCATACAGAATACAAAAAGAATATAGAACACCAGAAAAGAAAGTCCCCACCACATACTAATCAAAACACTAAACATACAGATCAAAGAAAGAATGTTAAAGCTACAAGGGAAAAATGCCAAGTAACATATGAGGGCAGATCTATTAGAATTACACCCAACTTCTCAATGAAGACTCTAAAAGCCAGAAGGTCCTGGACAGATGTCTTGCAGACTCTAACAGACCACAGATGCCAGCCCAGACTAGAGTACCCAGAAAAACTTTCAATCCTGATAGATGAAAAAAAAACAAGATATTTCATGAAAAACAAGATATTCCATGACAAAGTCAAATTTAAACAATATCTAATCATAAGTCCAGCCCTACAAAACATACTAGAAGGAAAATTCCAACCCCTGGAAGCTAAGTGCACCCATTAAACCACAGGAAATAATCTCACATCAGCAAAACCAAAAGAAGGGAAACACACACACACACACACACACACACACACACACACACACACATCACAACCAACACCAACAACAGGAATCAACTATCATTTGTCATTGACATCTCTCAATATCAGTGGACACAATTTCCCAATAAAAAGATACAAACTAATAGAATGGATTCAAGAACAAGATCCATCCTTCTGCTGCATATGAGAAACACACCTCAACATCA